CAGAAAAACAGCGAGCAGCATGCTGCTGTTTCCTAGCAGAGCTGCTGTCTGAGCTCTCACAGCAAATCAGCAGCACTTAGAAACGCTTCACAGAACATGGAGTTCCCCTCTATTTACGGTCTGTTTTCCACCTCTGCAATTCTATCAATCTTCACCATTTTTCTATTCATTAATGATTTTCCAAAGATGATATGTAGAAAGTTTCCGCTTCTTGCTCTTCATTTCTGGCCTGTCAACCACTCTCCTATTTATAGGCAATAACTATGCTGTTATCAATACACAGGAGAGAGAGATAAGCCAGAGCCTTACGAAGTCCTTTCTGGCTGTTCTTCCCTTTGCTATATGACGCTGAGCAAGGCTCACAGTCTCTGTGCTCATCTCTGCAGAATCATGTAGGTCTAGGCTCTTCCAAATCATGTAGGTCTAGGCTCTTCCAGAAGATATCCAAGAGATAGCAAACTATGTTTTTTTTGTTGTTGTTTTTTTTTTGTGTGTGTACATCTTTATCATACATAGTATATTAAAGCACTTTCCCTTTTTGGAAAACCTCAGTAAAGTAATTTAAAAGTATTAAAGACATGATTTTCCCTTCGCCTAGATGGGCGCAAATCCCAGACATATTTGCAGCTGTATAAACTGAAAGCAAATTGGAACTTCATCAGTCTGGAGCACTATAGAAATCCAAAAAAATGCAATGTTCATTTTAGCACTAACATTGTACATAAAGTTACCTGAAATTCACCCAACTTCATGTAGAAATCCTTTTCATTTCCACAATTGTATTGCACGTTGAGAGACAGAAAGTCTAATGAATCCTGGAAACATCAAAATAAAAAAAAATAAACCTGGAGAAACATTTTTGTTTGTTTTTTGTAGGTATTATGTTAACAATACATAAAATAGTTAACGTGGTTAAATACAGGTAAGTTTTTCAAATAAGAAGTCATACAGCTATAAGGGAGGCCTGAACAACACAATGTCTACGAACTGGATACGGCCAGGGAAGATTTTTCTCAGTGTCTCTTTCCAAACAATGCAAAATCTTAGAAGCATTAGCACAAATTATAAGTGGACTTTATGCATTTCATATTCATCATTTATAACTGCATCTTAAATTAGTAAGACTGAGGGAATCAATGATTAATGAAGTAGAGAAACCTTTGCAACTAACAATGTGGTTCAGTGAGGCCTTATCAGTAATATTTTGGGGAAAGTCCACTTCAGAAATCTTTGATCCTGTGATCAGTTGAGCTTGATCACTTGATCCTGTACATAAAAGTTAATCTAATGAAATTATTTCATTTTGGAAGCCATTTCTATTAGAGTGTTACCTGAAGAGAAACTGACAGCAATTGGAAAGAAGGAACATCCAAGATGTGATCCAAATCTAAAGCAATGGACATTTTTCCACCTTGAAAGAAAAGGGAAACCTATTAGTGTATTAAGAAGGGCAAATAAAAAATTGCAATACATTTTAGTTATTTTAAAGTCAGCTGGAAATTTTTGAAGCTGTGAATCATCAGAGACAGTGCCCTAAGTAGCAGGTCAGAGAATACCCATTGTGATTTTAAAGGGGAGTTGAAGAAGACAGAAGTCCAATGGCAGAGTTCAGGAGCTGCTGTTTAAGGAATTTCCTTGTCAGTCTTAAGATTTTTAAGATGTTTATGAGCAGCAGTGATAGCCTTGCTGCTTGCAAGAAGGAGGATCCAAAAGCAACTACCCAGTGGGTTCTCTTCTGTATTATGCTTACAAGGAAGATCTTTAATTTTCATTACTTCAGTGGTTGTTCTATAATAAAGTTAATTGTGAACCAGATGATTTTTAAGAAAAGCCTACAAAAGGCCAAAATGTTACATATTTCTCCTTAATTGTTTTGGCTACCCTTTAAAGTGAAACGTAATTATCAGTAAGCTATAAACCATTATCAGGATAACGAATGTGAAGAAGTCTACCACTCAAACATCTCTGTGCAGCTCAGAGAGCAGGGATAGCATGTTCACACACAGGACTGCCGTTTATCCCCCCACAGATCATTAGTGAAAGGTGCTCCGGAGCGCCCGTCTCTACCTGCGGGCGCGTACTTCTCGCGGTAGATGCGGTAAGCGCGCT